GAGCTCGTTAACTTTCATTGAATACATTTTAGGGACTTACTGCTCGGTAGGCACAAGTACCTCAAGAAGAAATGGCTTAGCAATCTGCTGCTGCGGGCAGGTGGGGTGGAGAGACTGGTCAGGCACAGGTCAACATGTACTGACCGACTCATAGTGAACACATGACTGAGATGCTGCAAAGGTCATACAGGTGACGATTGCTGCGAAGTTCCTGTTTCATTACATCATAACTGCAAATGGTTTTCTCACCAAGGTAGTTGCTAAACAAGGACTACCTCGTAATGCATTGCAGTTCAGGGAATTACATCAGGCCTGGTGATGTGAGTGTCCAGTTTTAGGGTGGAGCTGATTTTGTGCTCCAACAAGATGGGGCAAATGATGGTTTAATTCCATAAGGGGGAAAATGGCCATAGAGACTCTTTGGGGGCTTTATTCATTTAGAATTTTATTTAGAATAGAATAGAATAGAATAGAATAGAACAGAACAATGGAATGGAATGGAATAATGGAATGGAGTAGAATAAGGAATAGAAGTAGAATAGAATAGATATTGGAATGAATAGGATAGGATAAGGAATAGAATAGAATATAGAATAGAATAGTATAAGGAATAGAATAGGAATTAGAATAGAAATAGAATAAGGCATAGAATAGTATTGGAATAAAATAGAATAAGAAACAGAATGGAGTAAAATGGAAGGGAAGGGAATAGAACAGAATTAGGAATAGAATGTAATGGAGTGGAAATAGAATAGAATGGAATGGAAATAGAACAGAATACAATTCTTTATTGGCCAAGTGTGACTGGACACACAAGGAATTTGTCTCCAGTACAGAAGCTCTCAGTGAACATACAAGCAACAAGTGATGAATCACGATCATAATCATCATAAAAATACATTCATCATAAGATACAACACTTAGTGATAAGTCATAAGATACTAAATAAGTAATCGACATAAACCATACTACAATACTCAATAAAACTATATACATGTTCACTTAAGCTATTGCTGTTGGGTTTTACTGTAATTAAATGCCATGGCGCTAGCACTATTCCCAACATTTTGACATTTCATTTATATCCCCTATTGGCAAGCGGCCATAAACACGAGCCGTTTTCAGTAACTGATGGGGCATTCACAATGGGGTAAATGTTGCAAACTTGCCACTTTTCCCTGGAGCCTGAACAGTGTAGGAGTTTACAGCACTTAGCGTGTCCCTGGCAGGGAAAATTACCAAGCTTTAAAAAGACCCCTCCATCTTTCTTTTGTATAGGACTGCTAGTCAATCATCATCTTGTTGCTAACTCTGGGGAGGATTGGTTTTGATTATCTTAAAAAACCATAAAATATAAGTGGATATAATTTGCTTGCAGCTCAGGAGGGAAATGCAAACAATAAGGTTTATTCTCCCCCCCCCCCCCCCCATGAACTTAAACCAGTCTCTGAAATAGGAAATATAACTTAGGGGATAAACCCAGTGAGGTATTGGCAATATTAACTGCTCCTGTAAAAAGAATAAATGTTACAGCAACCAGTTATGTACTCCTTTCAGGAAAGAAAGATTGAGATTTTAGTCAGCCTTGAACATCAATTCCACTCTTACGTTTGCTGTAGGACTCTGTAGAACTCTCCTCTCTAAAAGCAGTGGTAGGATTCAACCGGTGTAACAACCGGTTTGGTGATCACGCTATCGCTGGAACTACCAGTTCACTCAAAACGGTCCGAACCAGCAGAATCTCACCCTTGCCTAAAAGAGTTGCTTTCAGGCTGGGTCAAGCAGGAAGGAAGCACATTCAGGTCCATTTGTCTATGATTCTATGGAGGTGCTTTTTCAAGAAGTGACTGGATTTTCTAGAAAGTCCAGTTCAGTTCAGAAAGTTCAGATCCATTTGTTTCTAGTTTCTCCAGAGTTTATTTTCCAGAGTCAGGCCTTTGCAAATCTTTGGAGCAGGGCCTCAAGTTGAATGAAACTTCATACAATGTTATGCAAATAAATTCCTGAACTGAAACCGCATTTCGTACAGTATGGAATTGTCTGCATTTCTGGAAACATGCACTTCCCTTCCGACTTTGGAGCTTGTTTCGGGCAATACACAATGTTGTAAAATCGGACCAGAGGATGGCTTGTAGGGTTGGCTCCCCAACCCTGAGCTGGCTGATCAGCTGTATCGCTTTATGTCCAACTGTAGCTCTTTTGGTGATGTGAAAAGTGGCTTCCTTTCTTAGGAAACATTCATACACCTCTATCTAACAAAATAAAATTCAATGTAGAGAAAAATAAAAAAACCAAAAGTACACCTGTAGACTGGGTGAAAGCAGGCTTAATACTGTGAGAGGGATCTTGGAGTCTTAGTGGACGACCAGCTAAATAGGAGCCAATAATGTGTGGCGGCATCCAAAAAAGCCAACGCAATCCTAAATTGCAATAACGGAGGGATACAATCAAGATCATGTGAGGTACTAATACCACTCTATAAAGCCTTGGTAAGACCTCACCTAGAATACAGCATCCAGTTTTGGTGACCACACTATAAAAAAGAAGTTGAGACTTTAGAAAGAGTGCAGAGAAGAGCAACCAAGATGATGAGCGGATTGAAGGCTAAAACATACGATGAACGGTTGCAGGAACTGGGCCTGGCTAGTCTAGTGAAGAGAAGGACCAGGGGAGACAGGATCTTGCAATATTTGAGGGAGGGGCTGCCACAGAGAGGAGGAAGAGGTCAAGCTATTTTCCAAGGCACCGGAAGGCCAGACAAGGAATAATGGATGGAAACTGAACAAGGAGAGTTTTAACCTGGAAATAAGGAGAAATTTTCTGACAGTGAGAACAATCAACCAGTGGAACAGAAGTTGCTTTCAGAAGTTGTGGGAGCTTCATCACTGGAAGCTTTCAAGAAGTGACTGGACTGCCACCTGTCAGAAATGGTGTAGGGTCTCCTGCTTGGGCAGGGGGTTGGACTAGATGACCTACAAGGTCCCTTCCAACCCTGTTAATCTGTATCTCGGGTATGAATTCTGCATCTACACAATGGACAGTTGAATGCCTTGGCTCATTAAAAAACTTTTTTTGTTGTCCTTGAAAACTGCAGGCAGCAAGATATTGTGTGTAGAAGTGGCATGGGGCCAGGAAGAGAGTGATGAATTTAACTAACGTGAATTAAAATTTAACTTCAGAATTTGGGGGAATTTGATGGATCTAACAAGCCGGGCACATCTGATCTTTTGTATCGTGTTTTATGTCTCTTTAAAATAAAAACTTAACCCTGGTGGGTAGGGGTAAGTAAACACTCAGCTGCATTCAGTTGCTCAGACTCCACCCCACAAAGGATTATGGGGTAATTAAAAGGAGATGAGTAAGTAATGGCTTAGTTTTCTTAGCTGAGGGGGGTAACATCCACGCTCAGCTTCGGAAAAAAAATCCCCCCCCCCCCGTAGGTAGAAAATTAATGTGTACAGCCACACTGCCACCACCCCCACGAAACTGGCTGTCAAGAATTGGAAAAATATTCTGGCCAATGGCCAGCCTCTGACATACTACAGGTAAGGCATTGGCAGATAATCATTGTGTCAGAGTTCTAGAAAACCTCCACTCCAAGAAATAACTCCGAGACAGACATCTTCTCAAAAGTTCTGTTTTAATTGGATAGTAAACTGGCACAACCGGGGAATCCTGAATGTGAAAGTTCCGGGCTTCCTTGCAATAAGTAAAAACTACAAATCCATCCCCTGCACCCATCATCGCATCACATGCCCCAATCACCAACCGTCCCAACTCGAGACTTCCTCTCACTTGCGTGCAAAACAACATGACCTTGAATTAGAAAAAGAACATTGTTATGTCTAACTACATAACACTCCAAGAAACTCCCCCCCTCCATTTTCCCAGGCTCAAAATATGGCAGTGTGGGAGCATTGGGTCTCAATGTGGCTTCCAAAGCTGACACATTGTTCATGTGCAAGTGTGTGTGTGTATGTGTGTGTGTGAAGAGAACCAATACTACAATTTTAAAAAGTAAACATAAAATTCTTTGCATTTAGGTTAAAATATACATATAAATATATATATATATATATTGCATTTTGTACAGAAACCCCAGATCTTACATTGGTTCTTGCAACGAGAACCTACCAAATTGCGGCTGTTTTTTAAAAATATTCTGTTGCACAAGATGTAACAAAGGGAAAAGCATGGAATAGTGGCTACGATGTTGGAATTGGCCTGGGAGAGCTACCCAAGGCTTGTTGCCTTCACTCAACTGTGGAGGTGACTGGGTAACCTTGAGCCCGTCAACAGAAACATTCAGCCCACATATGCTAGCTCGAATTTCACAAGGAAATGTGAGACAGATATAAGAGAATCTTTATTGCCATATTTTTTTCCTGGGCACACACTGGCACTCATTAAAAAAGGAAATTCGAATGCCTGCTCAAAAGAAAATAAGCCGAAATGTTGCAAAACATGAAAATAGAAATATATGTATCTCTATATAGTACATTTATTTATTTATACACCACTCCAATCAAGGTGACTTAAGGTCAAAAGCGGGGGAGTCTAAGAGATTCTCTAGTCATCCAGATCATGGTTGTCCCAGAGGTGCTTTTTCAGGAGGCAATTTTCTTGTTTTTTTTCTTTTGAAGACGTTTCGCTTCTCCTCCAAGAAGCTTCTTCAGCTCTGACCAACTTCCCCACCACCCTGTCAGAGTTGAGGAAGCTTCTTGGAGGAGAAGCAAAACGTCTTCAAAGAAAAAACTGAAGCAGCAAATGACCTGAGGACACAGATAAACTTCCAAGTGGCCTCAACGACCCGCTAAAAGGATGCAAATGACCAGCTGTCTGCAAGGAATGTAAATCCTTCCCTTTCCCACCATCCGGTCAGAGCTGAAGAAGCTCCTTGGAGGAGGAACGAAACGTCTTCAAAAGAAAAAAGAACAAGAAAGTCCAGTTGCCTCTTGATAAAAGCACCTTTGGGACAGGAGACTCTGAGTTTTAGTCCTGCCTTAGCCATGAAAGCCAGCTGGGTGACTTTGGGCCAGTTACTCTTAGTCAGCCCAACTCACCTCACAGGGTTGTTGTGGGCAAAACAGAAAGAGGAGGAATGTCTCTTGGATATGTTTTTCCACCTGGAGTTATTTGTAAATAATAATTAAGATAAATGAAGTGATGCGTAAAACTGAAAGGACGTTTTAGGCTTTCTTTTTTTTTTTTTTTAAATGTGTGTAATACACAATGCAACCCTAAACACATTTAAGGAAATAAGAATGAAATAGACCATTTCACGTCTCTAAATTATTATCACTGAGGACTGAGAGTGCTCAAGCACCTCCTACCTTCCTTCCTTCTCCCTCCTTAACTATAGCTTAAACCCTAAAGTTATCCCGTTTCCAATCAGGATCATACTTATGTTCACACGGGGATCGTGGAAGATTTTTTCATTTAGCTGATGAATATGCTGGGCTGCGCGATCATTTTTGCCTGGTTTAAGTACTTTCCCCGATACGAAAACCTGTTGGAAACAAGAGAGAAAACCATACAGAGCATGCAGGACTCACACCACGTATTACAACAACGTTACACAGGAGAGAACTGTCAGAGGAGGCCTGGAAACCTCAATGCAACTCTTGGCTGAGGCTCATTAAAATAGCTACCTCTTTTCTCAGGACTAAACCACTGGGATATCCACATTCTGCTGCAACCACATGAACCTGGAAACGGTGCGGGCCAGCTCAGTGAGTTGCAGGCAATTGGGGCCTCTACAATCTGTCTGTTCCAAACTGCTTGTTCTGACCCAGGCTCCGTCAAACTTAATAAAACACGAATTGAATTAAAAAAAAAAAAACCTTTGTTAATGTGACGCTGGGAATTTACTTGCATTCCCAGCCAAGACTCATTAGACACAGTTCCTCCAGATAAGAGCACGCTTTTCAGTGCTGCAGAATGCTGCCAAGAAACAGAAGTCCAATTAAGGCTAATCATAAACCAACCCCCAAACCCAGCAAAAACTAACCGGAGTACAGAGCTTCACGAAGAACTCGGAGATTACTGAACTACTGTGCATCCTGCAAAGGGTTTGTCATTGAGGTCTGACTTTTATCCCTGATGGGACAGACAATCACCTCCCAGCCTTACTCCCCTTTTAAGAGTCGCCCCTTTTATTTCAGCTGCTTTCACCTTCTAGCAGCTCTGCGCACAGGGAACAGGCTCCCCTTGTTCCTTTGCCTTGCTGCTGCCAGACTCCAGAGGCTCCGGAGCCAGCACCCCACTCCCAGATGGCCCTGGTCCCATCTCTGCATAGGATGCAGGACCCTCGTCCGAGTCCTCTCCAGACTCCCTGACTGGTCCCCTTTCTTCCTCACTGTCCGATTCCACTGCCGTCTGCACCGGCTGCCGGCAAACCACAACACTGCTATCTTGCCCTATCCTTACGTGAAACTAAGTCTACAATTGGACCTTTGTTTTATGACCTCCCAGGCCAAAGCAAAGATTCCATACAGTCGAGGAGATTTATTACCAAGTTTGTGCGGGCTGCACAGCAACCTTAATCCTTCCTGGGGTGAAAGTAATCAAAGCAGAATTGTTGCCAAAGGCAAAATACCAAATAACAGAGCTGGAAGGGACCTTGGAGGTCTTCTAGTCCAACCCCCTGCGGAGGCAGGAAAAACTGTACCATTTCAGGCAAATGGCTGTCCAGTCTCTTTTTTAAAAAACTTCCAGTGTTGGAGCAACCACAACTTCTGGAAAGAAGCCATTCCACTGGTTTATTGTTCTCAGTCAGGAAATTTCTCCTTAGTTCTAAGTTGCTTCTCTCCTTGATTAGTTTCCTGCCTTCAGGTGCTTTGGAGAATAGCTTGACTCCCTCTTCTTTGGGGCAGCCCCTGAGATATTGAAACACTGTTCTCATGTCACCCCTGGACCTTCTTTTCATTAAATGAGACATACCCCAATTCCTGCAACCATTCTCCATATATTTTATCCTCCAACCCCCTTATCATCTTGGTTGCTCTTCTCTGCACTCTTTCTAGAGTCTCAACATCTTTTTTTTTTTTTGCCAAAACTGGATGCAGCTTTCCAAGTGTGGCCTTACTAAGGCTTTGTAAAACGGTACTAGAACTTCACGTGATCTCAATTCTATCCCTCTGTTCTTATTCGTGTGTTATGGGTTGTGGGGTGGGAGTGTGGGTGGGGTTCCACAGGGATCCAAAATCAAGGGGCCATTCCCGGCCAAGTGGAGTAACAACACTTTCTACTTTTTCGGAAGTACTTACATTGTCAAGCACTAATATCTTCCCTTTTTTAATGAGCCGTAAACATTTTTCGTAGTAATCGTTGTAACTCTCTTTGTCAGCATGGATGAAAGCCAGGTCAAATGTTCCAGCTTCACCATTGGCTAGAAGTTCCTCTACACACACACAAACAGAAAAGGATTTTGTTTTGTTTTAATGCAAAATATTCCCTTCTGTCTACCTGTGTAGTAAGAGTATCTGTGGTACTCTTATCTGCAGTGGTTAAAAGGCAGTATTGCAGGCGAATTCTGCCGACTGCCAGCAGTTCGATCCTGACTAGCTCAAGGTTGATTCAACCCAACAGTGGGATCACCGGGATTACAGCTAAGTCTTCAGGTGTCCTGCTTAAATGCTGCATCTTGGGAGAATTCAGGGAGGGTTGATCACATCAAAGGGATTAGCAAAAAGGCCTCCATCACTTTCACTAATGTCAAATAATTCCATGCAAGTGAGAAAGGGAACACTTTAACCCAATTCACGCCGGCTGTGAAAAAGATGGAATTTGAAAGATCTTGATTTCCGTTTGGGCAATGGAACCGAAGCTCCATTGCTAATCTGGTTAATGGACATGAACTTTAAATTCTCTGATTTTTTTTTTAAAAATGGAACTATCTATCTCATTACAGCTAGTCCTCGACTTACAACGATTTACTTAGTGACTGTTCAAAGTTACAGCGTCTTTGAATAAAGTGACATGACCATTTTTTGCACTTACGACCATTACCCATAGTCTAAATCAGGGGTCGCCAACCTTTTGGACCTCAGGGACCACCAAACTCATAATTTTAAGTCCAAGGGATCACTAACCAGTTCTGTGGGTGTGGCCTAATTTGTGGGTGTGGCTTGGTGGTCATGTGACTGGCTGGGCATGGCTTGTATGAAAATATTATAAATATTTATATAAATATTTAATTTTTTATAAAAAAAGAGCAACTTTTGCCCAAAATCAGGCAAAGCAGGCAGGCAGATTCAGTTGCTCACAGAATCACAGATTCATTCAGAAAACTATCTGCCATTGGCTAGCTCAGTCTGTCACATAAAATTTGCTTGCAAGCGAACTCACAAAATTAACTCACAACACACCATGTATGTAAATATTGATTTTTTTTATAAAAAAAGAGCAACTTTTACCCAAAATCAGGCAAAGCAGGCAGGCAGACTGAGTTGCTCACAGAATCATTCAGTGATCCATCTATCTGCCATCGGCTGGCTCAGTCTGTCACATAAAATTTGCTTGCTGTGAGTCTGCACTGAATAATAGAAACTTCAGTCCTAAGGGAGGTTCGGCTGCGCTTAAAAGCAGAGCCAAAGATCTAAAGACTAGCTAGAAAGCAAGAAATCCAACCATTTCCTGCTTCCTAGGTAATCTAAATCTCCTGGCACAGCAGAACAGCTGATGGTCAGAAAAAGGAAAAATAGCAATTTAGCAGGCAAGTTTGCAGGATAAGGAGTGGGCGGGGAGGGTTCCTGCGGGCCATGTGGGCGGTTGCAGCCTTGTGTTTCTGCGCAGCCTGGATTCATTGCTTTGGGGGGGTGCTCTGGGGGTTAGATTTCTCTGAGGCCCACCAAAATTTTCTCACGGCCCACCAGTGGGTTGCAGCCCACCGGTTGGCGACTGCTCGTCTAAATTCAGATGCTGGGCAACTGGCTCATTTTTATGATGGTCGCAGTGTCCCGGGGTTACGTGATCTCTTTTGGCGACCTTCTCACAAGCTGAGTCCATGAGGGAAAACCAGATTCACTTAACAAACGAGTTATTCACTTAACAAATGTAGTGATTCCCTGAACAGCTGTGGCAAGAAAGATCATAAAACGGGGCGAAATTCACTTAAGAAACGTTTCGCTCAGCAATGGAGCTTTTGTGCTCTCAATTGTGGTCGTAAGTCGAGGACTACCTTAATGATTCAGGAAGTCTCTCCTTCAATTTGCTTATTACTTATTGGTTAAATTTATTTGCCACCCATCTTGCGGTGCTTTGCTTAACAACTTGTACCCAGAAAGGTCCTAAAACGGGGCAAAACTCATTTAACAAATGTGTTGCTTAGCAACAAGGCGGCTGGGAAGGAGAGAGTATGATGGACCAAAGCGAGGGAGTGTTGATGCCTGAACAGAGACCCCCCCCCCAAACCCCCCCCCAAAAAACCCTTCCAGTTGAACCCTTTGCTTCTACCTACCTAATGTTTCAATGGCTGGTTTTATCCTTAGATCGATCTTACGTAGAACTCCAGCCTGGAAGGAAAGAAAACAGGTCAAAGATATCATGAGGTCCCAAATGCTCAGCCTCCCCATCTAGTGTGTATATATGTGTGTGTGTGTGTGTGTGTGTGTGTATGTATGTGTGTGTTTGCTTGTGCAGACCATCCATTGATGTGGTGGCATTTCAAGAAAGGAACGGAATGATTAGTAGTGAAATAATAAAATTAATAATATTATTATATTATATAATTTTATATAATATATAAATTCAATATATAATAATATATAATTTATATAATTATTGTATAAATTTGCACTGAGGCAAATTTCTTATGTGTCCAACCACACTTGGCCAGTAAAGAATTTTCTTTCTTTCTTTCTTTCTTTCTTTCTTTCTTTCTTTCTTTCTTTCTTTC